CTTTCGTGAACTTAACCGTCTGATTTCTCTAAAACATGTGAAAGCAAACTTCGACAATGATAGAGGTCTAGATTTAACCTGTAAGATTCAATAACAAAACAATTTTGGGAAAGACAGGTATAGCATGCCCTGGTGTTTCCGGCAACTTATATCATTGGAATACGACAGTCGTTTGAAATCTAAAACCGGAAGTTGGAGTTCAAAAGACGTTGTGCTTGTTATATTACATAAAGAAGAAGGCACAAACTCCTGCTTTGCTTTTGTTTTCGATGATAGTAATTCATTACAGGTGACATGTAGTTTGGAAAGTGAAAAATCAGCCCAGCTTTGTTCTTGAAAAACAGTTGTTTTTTTTTCCGAATTGCTCCAGCGTATGTTGTTGATGATTGTTATAGCTTAGCAATGGAAGAAGTAGTGTAGGCGTTGGCATGAAAAATACTAGCCAAATCAGCATCGTCATCAACATCAGCTTTGTCATCGTCATTATCATCAGCTTTTGTCATTGTCATCATTGAATGTAGCATTAGTCGAAGTAGTCTGTGAGTGATTTTTATTTTAACGTAGCTTGAATAATGTTTTAGTCATATAGCTAAAATGTCTGCATTGTGGCAGTTTATAGTCATGTCTAGCACTGGGGACTCATGCCGCATACATGTAGCATGGTGTCTCATAGTCACATTATCATGACACCAGGCTGACCAGTCCTAACACTAACCTGCTAATGCTGAGCGCATAGCGAGGCAACTGTTGGTACCATTTTTATTAATCTTCGGTCGCTCAGCATAGCAAGGCAACTGTTAGTACCATTTTTATTAATCTTCTGTATGGCTCGGCTGGGGTTCGAACCCGCAGTTCGATTTGGACGTTATAACCACTTAGGCTACCGGAGCGGTAGTCAGAAAGGTAATAGTAGTAAATTAGTTGTCGCAGTAGCTTTTAGTGTCTTTTCCAGGCATTATTTTCTACCGTATTAGCACCATGCCATTTCAATAAGTGTCTTCGATTGTTTCAAGCATCTTAAGTATCACGTTTCGTACCCTCTTTGTATAAGTATTTTTATGTACAGTTTCATGATATTTTGTCAGTTTTTTCGCCACCTGTACTTATTGAAATTTGGTTTTCCGCTCTAATTCAACTTTAGCAACGTCAATCTATTCCTCGTCACTTTTCTAAACAACAGGAATAGGATTTTAGAAATGGAAAGCAACCGTTCAGATGGTTTCAATGTTATCGTATTGTAATGTTAAGTACCATTCTTAACGGTCTTCATAATTGTACAATAGCATCATTTGCACCGTTTCTGTCCTTTTTCAATTGAAGTGTACAAAATGTTGTAAGTGTCATTACAAGTACTACAGTAGTTGCGCCTGTTGTTGTTGTGACACAGTCAAATGCAACCAAAAAGAAAAATAACACAAATTATATGACTTATGATATATATATATATAAATATAAATCATCACTTATTCACGTGACAACCTGAACATAAGCAACGACAGGGAAAACTTGTTAAGATATTAGGGTAAATTATAATAATAATAATAATAATAATAATAATAATAATAATAATAATAATAATAATAATAATAATAATAATAATAATATTAACAACAACAATAACAATAATAATAATAATAATAATAATAATAATAATAATAAAAATAATAATAATAATAATAATAATAATAATATTAACAATAATAATAATAATAATAATAATAATAATAATAATAATAATAATAATAATAATAATAATAATAATAATAATAAATGTGGCGGAGTAGAATGAAACAAATGTCTAGACACAAGTGTTTCGTTGTTATTGACGATTATGTATCACTTACTCCAATATTGAGATTAAAAACACGGAATTATTCTGAAATATCAAACCAAATCAAATTCAAAGAAATTCCGGCGACTTCTCGTCTGGAAAGATAAAAGGATCATCTTGTTTTTAAGGAGAAGAAAAATTTTAAAATATGGTCTCATAAAGAGCATGTTATTGTTGTTAGTCATTTAAGACGAATTAGAAAAAGAAAATTAACAAAAGGTCCAATGTCTGGTGATGGAGATATGCAAATGTAGAGATTAAAGAACAAGCAACTTTTATCACTAAGATTTCCATTTATGCTGGCTAAAGCTGTTAGTCGGTTCGTGAGCGCATTTTAGCCTCCATGCAGCGCTTTATTGACAGGTTGATATAGGAAAGAGCTGTTAGCGCCATCTTGCTGATAACCTTTTTACCTCCATCGCGGAGACGTGCAGATGTGCACATTAAGTGTAATATTTGTTCCGTATGGTTGGACGCTGTTTGTATACTTCATAGAGATAGACTAAGAATTATGTCAGCTATCCCTAGTTTGAACGGTATAAAGCAAATGATTTAAAGCGTTATGAGGTGATCTCAGATTTATACTGCATGAAGTAACAACGTGAAATTTTCTTATTTAACCAAATTTTATCAAACAAAATACGATTCATTAATAGGTCGCATAGACTGGCATAATATCTTATTTACTGCATAAAACTCATACAATATTTAATATAACTTGTCTACTGCAGTTCCCATCGAGACATGACACAAGTAATATATAAATTAAACAAAAATATTGTTAACGCCATTTTTCGGTATATGATAGGGTGTACATGACAGACATCATCTATGGTGGAGTAAGAGCCCAGGAAAATCCCGGGAAGAACGAACAGCCGATGGGAAGCTAATGGTGAGCTTTCCAACATAGCTACATTTGTCGAGCCCGCGACTAGAACCCACGCATACAGAGGTTATATATCTGTAAATTCGAACGCCTTTGAACACTTTGCAAACCCGTGGGCCCTACAAAACGATTACGTTTGTTTTATAATTAATTCCATTCAATAAACTGTGATGATATATCAAATCAACACTCATAGATCTTTTTCGTCAAAAAAAGATTTTAATTACGTTGCTTTTTATGCAGCATTGGTTATTTATAAGGCACAACTGGAGCGTATTCAAAGACAACAAATGTCAAAATGTTACACCCTGAAGTGTTAATATCTAATGAATTTCTAAGCATTCGCTTAAAACGTAGAAGGTCTAACCCTAAAAGAAAAATTTTGGACTGGTTGTAGGAAATGGTTTTATGCATCATCATATATTTGCATGGAGCAATTCCAATATCAACCAGGAAACTAATACACAGTAGAAACTATGTAATCTTTGGAGTTATATTGTTTTGAAGGTTATATTGAACTGAGATATGAAGGCTACTGTGCATTGCTTATGGACACACCATTATAGCTCAACAGGCCAAGGACATATAAATGGGGGCACAGGGGTATGTGATCCTGGCCTTATTTATCCTGGGGGCCATCTGGCTGCCGTTGATAAAATTACATGTGTTTAAAGAAACCATATACGGGTCTAAACTAGTTTATACTCTAATATTTAATATATGATATTTAATCTAATATAGCTATAATAATTTCACACATTATCTTTCAGAACTGCTTTCAAAATGTATTTGTAGATTTATTAGGCCTAACACACCATCTCAAGTGCTTTCAACACCAAACCTTAATCCGGCTCTGGAATCGGCCTGGACTGGTGGCAATCAAACCCTTATTTGATAATAATAACTGAGCAATTTCGGTTCCTAAAATATCTAAGGAAAGTAGCAACAAAGACTACATTTGAGCATAGTGCAAATAATCAATAAATTATGTTGTAATTTGATTTACATAAAAGACTGGTATCATAACAATGAGGCAGAACAAAATCCAGCGCACAAAACAAAACAACAACAATCGGTATGGTTAGATGATATGCGTCTAATGGGAACTTTCATCTACTGCACAAGCATTTGGAACATTGACGCATTCTTTGTTGCCTGTATTAAGACCCTGTAGTTTAATTGTGTGTCACGGAATCAATTCTGTATAAATCTTTTTATTTCATTGAATGTAATTATTAATATAATTATATTAATATCAGTCTAATATGTTGTTGAAAAACATCGTGTTTATTTGAGTCGTAAATGTGACTCATGTGAGCACGTGCTGTGTATGATAATAAATTCATTACAAGTAAACATTCAGGAATAGCTATGAAAACGATTGGCTGATATTTGGTCAGGCTTTCTTAATGTCCAGAAGTATTACGAAATTGCATACGTCCTCGTTCGTGTGTAATTTAAACAACGTATTAGCTTCATTTATATGTTGATGTATTTTTGTAAGACAGACATTCGTAGTCCAGAGTCATACACAGTCATAGAGTCGTAAAGTCAGCTGTAACATCTTAGAGTTATACAAATTTTATTACCTTAAAAAAGGTATTTTTTGTGCTAGAAGAAGTTGTCTGTTCATATGTCTACGTAGAACAACATGTTTTGTTAGAGGAGCTAATTTTACTTCGTTTCTCCTGAATAATTGGAGAACAAAATTACTGATTTGGACAAAGACATTTTCAGAAAATATTCTGAATTGGAACGGAACAACACAAATTGTGCTTTATTGTGTAAATTCTGGAATTTTCTGTTAGCCTTTGTCTGACGTGGTCATCCGCCATTTTGGACCGGAATTAAACTTCAGACTGTGTTTAGAACTTTTAGAGGACTTATGTTTCTATTTTGAACAAACAATTTGGATCATTTCTGTAAACCGTAAGTCTTCTTTAACATATTTACTTTTTATGTTTTCTAGAAAAATAAATTATTTTTGTTAAAATTTACAAAGCTTGTTGTCTTCACTCTTTCTTTTATGTTACTTTGAACGAGCCGATACGTGACACTTGTCACTGTGGCTTTTGTCTTAAAAAATAAAAAAAATAAAATTAGAATAACTCTGTGTGTGTGTGTGTGTGTGTGTGTGTGTGTGTGTGTGTGTGTGTGATTTTGGATTTGTAAAGTAGCGGATGTTACATTATCCCGACAACAGGCCGACCAGTCCTAACACTAACCTCTTAATGCTGAGCGCCAAGCGAGACAGCTGTTACTACCATTTTTATGTCTTTGGTATGAGTCAGTCGGGATCGAACCCATGACCTCCCGCATCAGAGGCGGACGCTCTAACCACTAGTCCACCGGAACTGTATCTAAATGAGTCAAAAGCTGGATGGTCAAAGTAGGATGCTATATATTTATATATGCTGTGGTGTTTTTATAATCAGGTGAAATTTGAAATTGCAAATTTAATCTAATATTTTCATTATATGTTTCATGGTGATATATTTATTGGTGGAAATATAAATATGATAAATTAGTTGCAAACATACTCAAATAATATCCGCCAACTCAATGTGACATTTACAAATCCATTTTTTTGAGAAGTATATACACATTCTTGTTATTGAATCTAAGGTAATTTCGACTTCCACCCATATGTGTAAGAGGATATTGAAAACGTGTATCTACTGCTAACGTTTTCCTCAAACTCAGACCTTCGCCCATGCAGATTGTTATTTCGATGGGTGGAAGGGAAATATAGAAGAGCATTATCACAAATTTAATATTTTGAAATGAAACTGAGAATTATTAAATGAATAAAATTGAGAAAATAGTAAAGTCTCAGTTTGTAATATCGTTAATAGTATTCGAGTCTCGTAAGCAAGTCCTGTAACTACAGCATGCGTTTCGTTCATTCTAATGGCCGTTACACGTGGAATAAGTAAATTTTTTGTTCTTCATGAAGCAACTGAAAATACGACATACTCAAATTATACTCGAACTCCTCCAACAAGGTTGTCTAATAAAAACAATTAGATACCATCCTTCATCCAGTTTTCTGTAATATTAAATAATTTGTTATTGACACGACGACTCAATAATGAGATTACGTTACGATATGACCAACTTGCTTATTTAGACCTTATGATAATTAATCCCCTACGACACCGATTTATTTATGTGACACAAAATTTGTTACATGTATCATGCTTATTGAGTGACACAAAATGAAAACACTCGTTATATGTAACCAAATGTTGTAATGTATAGTCATTCGTAAAGCTATTAGTCAAATCTTTGTAATTATATAGACCGCTTTTCAGTGTTTCCCATTTTCGGTATATATTTTCATTCTTTACGGATATGCACAGGTTAAAACATTAAGACACGTGAGATTCTTTTTATTCATTTTTCATTTTCACATACATACTCAAAGTTTAATGGTATGTATTGATTCAACATAAAATCTGTATTCCGATGTTATAAAGCTGATCGTGATTCAGATTACATCCAAAAAAGAGAATTATATTGATTTATCGTGTACTGTATTTAATTTCATCGGAGACGTTTGAACAAGTGAGCTCAGTTGCACTCAAAAGCACGACTTTGAGAAATTTCCAGTATTTTAATTGACTAGCTTGCAAACAAAATCATTTTTTTGTGGAAATATAGGAATTGGAATATTATGAAGAAAATGGATTTGTTTCGGCAGCAATAAAGGCCTTTTATTTTGTGCTATTACGCCCATTGTGTTCTAATTTCCCATTCATTTCATCTGAACAAAAAGCCGATATGCTCAGTTCCAGTACGAACTCCTTTTCTGACAAGATGTGCTGGATGAGAAGAAATGTCATTGCTTGATGTTGCATTGGAGACATGATAATGTTTATCATAGTGCATTATAATAATTGTTCTGGAGAGTTTCATTTGGCAGAGGATAGGAGAGAAACACGTACCTTTAAAAATTACTGCCTTGTAACAGTGTTGCAGGACAATAGAGTATTAACATTGATTCATGAACCACTAAAGTAATTTTGTTTTTACAATTACTTATCTTTTCAAGAGAGTACTTACGGATTGCTCAAATTATTATAAACAATACCCTGGAGACCCAGGACGGTAGCATCTAACAGTGCAAAGATATGAAGAGCCAAAGTCCTAGACCTTTTTAATCAAAATATCTTCATTTTAAAACGCGGATACGAGAACAATTCTGTATTTTTATGATTTAACACTACAACAAAAAATCACTTTATAGTCGTTTTACAAACTAATAATCTACAGATTATATATCGAATGAAGTGCGAACTGACAAAGACAATCGGCCCAACACTTATTATTGTACATAGCAGCCGAGTCAGCTACAACCTCAAAGTGCAATATAAAATATTGTCGACTATAATAATAAAGGTAAAGACAGCGTATATAAAAGCCAGAGGTTTGCAGTTCGAATCCTGGAAACGGAGAAAAACTGTCCTATATATTTGAGAACAAATTTTAGTGTCTGTGTGAGTGATATTTGTGAGTTGAATTTTAAACTCTGCTTTAACAATTTTTCAGTCAAATCGCTATGATGTCTGCAGTGTGGCAGTTTATAATGATGTTTATCACTGGGGCATCATGCCGCAGACATGTAGCATGATGTCCCACCCAGTCACATTATCCTGACACCAGGCCGACCAGTCCTAACATTAACCTCTTAATGCTGAGATCCTAGCGAGGCAGCTGTTAGTAACATTTTTGTAAGTCTTTGATATGCCTCAGCCGGGGATCGAACCCACGACTATCCGTATCAGAGGCGGACGCTCTAACCACTCTGCCACTCAGTATCTGAGTGGGTCATTTATTGTTGTTGTTGTTGTTGTTGTTGTTGGGCTTAACGCCATTTTCAGCACACAATAGGCTATTCATGGCGGCCAGTATTAATGGTGGAGGAAGAAACCGGGAAATCAACGGAAAGAACCAACGACCCTCGAGAAGCTACTGGCAAGCTTTCTCACATATCCACATTCGCCGAATCCTAGACTCGAACCCACGCAGAGGTGAGATGGCAGTGATCTGTAACGGATAGCGCTTTTGACCACTCGGCCTATATATATATATATATATATATATATATATATATATATATATATATATATATATATATATATATATATATATATATATATATATATATATATATATAGATAGATAGATAGATAGATAGAGAGAGAGAGAGACAGACAGACAGAGAAACAGACAGAGAGACAGACAGACAGACAGACAGACAGAGACAGACATAGACAGATATAGAAATGATTATTCGTTGTTAAATGATGATTTTTGTGATGATATGATTGTGATCAAGATTATGATAGTATGATGTTGATGATATATTATTGTTGTTGTTGTTGTTGATGATGATGATGATGATGATGATGATGATGATGATGATGATGATGATGATGATGATGATGATCGCTATATTGTTTATGTTACATTGACTGCTGCTCAATGATGATGATAACAAATATCACATAGACTATGATGGTACTAAATTGCTGTTAGTTGATGGTGTTTGTGATTATAAGAAAACTGAGAATTATAGGAAGCCCTACTATGCAGAACTACAATCTCACAGGTGAAATAAACTTCAAAGCGGTAAATACACCTGGAAATCCATGATGCCTTCTGCATAAGACATAGAGAGACAGCTGCATCTCAGTGAGACACCAAATTCATGCTTTCTGTCTGAATAAGTGCGAATAATGCAAAAAAAAAACAACAAAAGAATGAGCCAGACGGAGTAAGAACTTTTTCTTTTTTTTTTCGCAAGAACTAGATTTGTTTCTCACCAACGTATCTGTGTAATACAATTTTCTGTTTTTCGAATTCGAGGCTTTCATTGAAATAATAATAATAATAATAATAATAATAATAATAATAATAATAATAATAATAATAATAATAATAATAATAATAATAATAATAATAATAATAATAATAATAAAAATAATAACAAAAACATTAAGAACCAGAAGAAGAAGAAGAAAACGTTCAAATCAAATGTCACTTTGATAATTTTATGCTAGAATCGTTTCCTCTAGATATTACCAAAAAATCAATTCTTTGAGCATTGATTGATGGATGGACTGAATTAACGCAGCTATATGTTGTTGTCCATTAGTAATGTCGCGGAATTGAATGGACAGAAGGGTGGAAAGATGAAATTAGTTTTTACTAAAAAAAAACAAAGAACACAGGCTATTTCAAAATACATACACTAACAACTCCTGCACTCATTAGTATCCATGCATTAGCAACTCCTGCACACATTCATACACAAACAAATCCTACACACATTAGTATTCATACACTAGCAGCTCCTACACACATTAGTATTCATACACTAGCAACTCCACACTCATTAGTATACATACATTAGCAGCTCCTACACACATTAGTATTCATACACTAGCTTCTCCTACACACATTAGAATTCATACACTTGCAACTCCTACACACATTAGTATTCATACACGAGCAACTCCTACACACATTAGCATTCATACACTAGCAACTCCACACTCATTAGTATACATACATTAGCAGCTCCTACACACATTAGTATTCATACACTAGCAACTCCTACACAAATTAGTATTCATACACTAGCAACTCCTACACACATTAGTATTCATACACTAGCAACTCCTGCACACATTAGAATTCATACACTAGCAACTCCACACTCATTAGTATACATACATTAGCAGCTCCTACACACATTAGTATTCATACACTAGCAACTCCTACACACATTAGTATTCATACACTAGCAACTCCTACACACATTAGTATTCATACACTAGCAACTCCTACACACATTAGCATTCATACACTAGCAACTCCACACTCATTAGTATACATACATTAGCAGCTCCTACACACATTAGTATTCATACACTAGCAACTCCTACACACATTAGTATACATACACTAGCAACTCCTACACTCATTAGTATTCATATACAGGAAACTCCTACACACATTAGCATTCATACACTAGCAACTCCTACACAGATTAGTATTCATACACAGGAAACTCCTACACACATTAGTATTCATACACTAGCAACTCCTACACACATTAGTATTCATACACAGGAAACTCCTACACACATTAGTATTCATACACTAGCAACTCCTACACACATTAGTATTCATACACTAGCAACTCCTACACTCATTAGTATTCATATACAGGAAACTCCTGCACTCATTAGTATACATGCGTTAGCAACTCCTGCACTCATTATTATACATGCGTTAGCAACTTCTGCACTCATTAGTATACATATACTAGTATACATTAGTACAGTTAAGTATAGTCTCAATTTTGTACAACACTTTTAGGTCTACCTCAGTTTCTAAAACAAGCAACACTCTCTTCCGTATCTGAATAGGAAATTTATTGCAGATCAAACTAAATTGTTTCTTATCTATGCTGGTGCTATCTGATTTGATTCCATCGCCATCAGGAAAAAGTATTTATCATTTCTCTGGAAACAATAACGAGAGATGCATACTGATTTTATCTATGAAAATGCATTGAAGAAATCTCACAAGCAGATGTGCTCGTCTGCACAACCAATAGTAGAGGAAAAAGAAGGATACTACCATAGAGACTCCTATTCAACTCCAAGCAAGTACAAAATCCCTGCCCCAGAGACCCCACCAATCCCGCTATCCATTTCTTAACCCCTTGAAAAATTTTCAATTAGAGATTTAAAAACCTATAGATATAATAAACAAAAATATACAAGATGAAATAATTGAAATGCTTTCCAGTTTTATTGAGTATGAAGATATTACTAGTGACTATATTAATAAACTTACGGAATATTTTGACAGTTTTTATTATATTATTATAATATTATTATAGATATTCCAGTTTCATTAGAAAGACCTTATTTCATTAACAAATGTCTACACGTTTTATATGCCAAGTGAGCTTCTTAAAAATAGTTATATTTTACTACAGAGAAAATGGATTATCTACAATGATTATGGATATGAAATTTCTCGAAGAAAAGTTTTCATGGAAGATCCAGAACCTTATATTGACCCATCAACCAGAGTTTATGATTTTAGCAAACCGTTTAGATATTAACGAATAATTTAAAGTCTAGATATTTTCATAAGTTGAGCTTGATTTTTAAAACAATAATGCTGAGATTATTTATTTTTGCTAGATTATTTTTAAAGTTTAGACTTCATCGCCGATTATAAATGTTTCAACTGTGGATATTATAAATATATCGTCATCATGATTATAGAGGCTAAATTTTATTCTATCGCTCACACAACGGCGAGAATCAAATAAATCTTTTATCTGTAATTTATTAAGATGATACTTTTTAATCAATAAAATATACCTTTGACCAATCAAGATCAATAACAATTTTAGTATATTTTGGTTGACTGATAGGATCATAACAGTTTTTAAAATTTACTGACAACGTTTGGCTCATTTTTCCAAAATAATTAAACTACTCACCGTTACCAACTGTGATAAGCGAAAGTTTTAGCTTGTCACTTCCACTGAAACCTATTCATGATGTTTCATTGTTCATTTCAACTGTCAACCGTTTACCGTCTATCATTAGATATTTGATCTTGTTATTGTAGCTATTTGTAACTGTCACATTTTCAAACATTATTTTTTATTGTTCACACAAAATTTCATACCCTGAAAATATAATATCGAGTATATATCTATCATCACAACGATACCCAAGTGCAAACGTATCTAATCCATTTTCGCAAGAACGTTTGTCATCATAGTTGCTTAGACCATGTTTAATAATAACATGTTTCAAATTTATGATGATTTGTTCGAATATCCATTGCTGTTTTAAAACTAATGCCACCGCGAGCACCATCAGCGCCGAGTGCATACTTGTAATCATCAAGTCTCATACATTTTGTAACAAAATCGAATGGCAAACCTTTTGATTTTTTTTATTTGAATGGTGTCCAACAATACGGCATACATTTTGCTTCGCAATCCGATAAAATACTTGATAATGTGCAAGTTCATTTCATCCTTAAACTTACCATTAACCTTTTTATTTGTGTCATTATAAAAATTTGCTGTAATAAAAAAATCAAATAAATGTCGCTTATTGTAAATGTTCTGATGGACGTCCTCACTCGATATCATAAACAAAAGAGTCAGTATCAGTAAATAATAACCCATTTGATGGCCACTGATGTTTAATAAAATTGCAATGAAAATTGTGAATGACCCACGTGGACAAATCAAGTTCAGAAGTTCCCACATAGCTCGACTTATTTAGTTTTAGATTTGTTTCGTCGCTGTATTGCGACAAGATTTTTATTAAAAAAATTTCATACTAACAAAATCATCATCAGACAGATGTTTGTTTCTGCGGTTGACATTATTAATTTTCTCGTTATATACCCGCTTTCTAATATTTTTCATTTTCTCACCAAAGACGGAATTATTCATAAGCTTAAAGAAGGTTTTCTCGAAATTAGTTTTAGCTACACCTCTCCTGACGTGTTTGAGCTAATATAACCTTTCATCCAAGGAGACAGATTGAATTTTTATAACACGATGAACGTTCCTTAACACGAGATCAGCTTCTACCGCTTGTTTTTAACAAGCAATTTTCGGACTGGTTTTTAGCATCGAATTTTGTCTTGGTGATGCTATTGTTTGTTAGCGAGGAGTACTATCATGTAAATACCAAGTACAACTTGTACGTGGGAAATATTTTGGAGTCAGTGATGCACATCAATCATGGAAAACCGATTGGTAAGGCAGCACTGGCAGGTTATAAGATCAATGTTAAAGGTGACAATGCTGAAAGAACATGCATTTTAAAGATTTTATTTTCACGTTATTTTGTGACGGAATTGCAGAAGGGCAGCGAGTATATTATGTTAATGGCGCAGTTACGGATGCTAACATTGGATATGTTAGGAACAAACATAAATTTGGAAACCGCGTATCCGCCAAGAAAATTAAATCAAACCCATGCGATAAGTTAGTATGATAACAAGCTTGATAAAACTTGTGCAGTGGTTACAGGTAATATTAATATGTCGAGTAAAAATTATTGGGTTGGAAACTGCGTATCTACCAGCAAATATTACATATGCGGTTAGCTATTAGCAACTAAAATCTGTTGACGATAACACGCTTGATAAAGCTGGCGACAATATGACCGGTAACCTGATAACAAGCAATAACTCAAAATAACCGGATTACCAACAACCTAGCAGACAGCTAATGAATCTGATGCTATTTGTTACGCTCAGTTAAATAAGGACTCACTCCGTATTTTAAACGATTATGTGCCAGGCAATGAGAAATAACAAAATAAGAACAGCATATGTTCTAGTTAACACTAATGATCTGAGAAATAAAGCGTATGTTGATAGTGCGTTTAGTGGTGGTATAAATCGAATTAAAAACAATGTTGAGTATATTCCAACACTTTTTAAGGCAACTGATTACCGAGTTGGTTTTGAGGTAAACGCATTATCCTGGAAAATATATTCATCACGCTTTGTCTGATAGGCAGAAATGGACTACTGACGGAAAAGTTGAAAACTTGTGAATTAAAATTAAATGTCCTGTTGCAGTCGCTATTTGGCAATTTAATTTGCGAAGTTTATTAAACTCAAGTGTTTGTCGAATTTATAATTGGCGATTGGAAGGATCAAACGATGATATCAACTGGGTAACATTATACAGTACAAAAACATATTTCAGCAACACATTATTTTACAACTCCAACAGAAAATACCGTTTCCATATATTTATATTTTCGAGTATATGTTGTCGCTGCTGAACATCCGTTTCCAGGATTGACTGCATTTCAAATATATGCTCTTGATGATCAAATTTAATCTAATGCCATAAATAATGTCTTAACCAGCAATTATAAACGTTGCAAAGGACTTTTATGACAATAGTTTTGTTAACCCCAAAAGATGTTCGAAACAAGCCACTAGCGGCACGTGTGATAAACACTACGAAGAAGTTTACAATTACAATAATAAATTTTCCATTATCAGATAAAGAAATTTTTAAAATTCTTTTTTTGCGAGGACCAAATAAAATCAATAAAAAAGTTTGTAATTCTAAGCAGATACTGTAATCCTGACGATTGTCTCGAAGAAGAAACACAAGTTGAAATCCTCTTTAAAAATATAACTTGAGCTTGATTTTAAAATGTAGATTAATAATACGATCAGGCATATTAACACGAGGGGGGAAAATAAACGATAAAGTGATCGTTTCAACAAACTAGCAGAATCGAGGATAATAAAAATAGAAAGGTGCAATAGTTGTTTCTAAAACGAGAAAGTTTTAAGTATCTCGGTATATATTACCACTACAGCGGATACGGTGTTAATTATTCGAACGCTCTTCTATGAATAGTGCGTAGAAAAGACTCATAATTTATTCCGATTGATCACTAAAGATAGTAAAAAATTTTGACGATGATATTAGTTATCTTGATGATGAAATTGGTTATCTTGACAATTATGAGCGAGAAAAGGTTTTTAAAGAAGTCGATCTAACAATATTTGAAGTATTTTTTTTTTCTTTTTACATAATAAGTGATGAAGGCGATAATCCAATTCCATCGCTCCAACATTCTAGACAATTGTCATTACAAAATTATTACAATGACGTCGAGAAAATATTTACAAAACAATACAAAAATTATCGCTTAAAGTAAATGCTTCTGTTTGTATTACCTTTCTTGGACGAAAATCACTCAGAAATGGATGCTGATATTATCAATTAATGCTATTATCAGACAATATCTTGCCCTCAAAATGTTTACTTTGAATCAAATAAGATTGGCACTTGGGTTTATTGATCAAACAGAATAAGAAAACGGTAATTTTGGTAAATGAAATAGATTTTTATGAATATTAAGTAGGAATCACATTTGATTCCTACAGTTGATTAAAGAAAAATGAAGTATTGATGGATGAACGATATAAAGATATTTCGTCAGATGTTTATGACAAGTACAGAGATTTTATAGCTGACAATAATAAGTTTCGTGAATTTCTTGGTTCAATTGTTGGTGCTACAAGTTTTAATATTGCATGAAAACTGTAAACAAATGTTGTATAATGAAAGTCATATCGTTGATTTTGATCATATTTCAGATGAAATTCTAAAACAATATGTTGACACACTAATACAATATTACAACTTTTATCATAAAAAACTTTTGTGCGTAAAACGATGTTACAAATAATATAGTACAATTCTTCGGTTAATGTCCTATTAGCCGTTTTTAATGACCAGCTCTAGTATTATCTCATGAAAAGCATCATTAAATCCGTTTTTGTTAACGATATAAGGTGTTTGTGTTTCTCTTGCAACAACGCGTAAAAAAACCCCCCTGAGCCTCGAAAAGTGCATTCAAAACAGCGAGTATCACTTATAAATATTACTTGATCAAATAAGATATTAATTGAGGGGTAGAAAATATGATATGGACAACCTAATATGCGAGTTTCGTATTATTGATAGTATGTTAACAGATATTCTACCAATGAGATTTTCTATGAAAATCATTATCAAAAAAGTATGATGGTCATACAGATAGGGTATAATATTTTGTGTGAACTTAAAAACAATCTAATCCAAAAATTGGTTAAAAAAATAAAATATTCTCAACATTATTTTTAAAACAAATCAAGCTCAACTTATTAAAATATCTCGACTCTAAATTAATCGCCAATATGCCAACTTTTTGCTAAAATCATAAACTATGTCTGATTTATTATTATAAGGTTCTGGATCTTCCATTAAAATTTAAATAACCTCTTCGAGATTTTCATATAAAAAAAATTTGGTTTCATTCCAACTTCTCTGTAGTAATATATAGCTAAATATCTTATAAGAAGTTCACTTCGCATATACAACGTATGTAGAAAACTTTTAATATGATAAGGTTTTTCCAACGAAACTTGTTTATCTACAATAATGTAGTAACAACTATCAACATATTCCGTAAATATATCAATATCGTCTCTAGTAATATCTTCATACTCAATAGAACATGAAAGCATTTGAATTATTTCATCTTGTCTTTTTTTTGTTTATTATATCTAAAGGTTTATAAATCTCTAATTGAAAATGTTTCATGGGGTGGTCTCTGGTCTTTATTCCTTGTGGGTGAAAAAAGGATGGAGGTCTCTTAATTAGTTGTCTCTGGGGCAGGGAATTTATACTTCTTTGGAGGGGAAGAACGGGTCTTTGGGATAGAATTCTTGTTTGCTTCTACTACTCAACCAGGTTTGATAATTCTGTCAATACTCAATCAGGTTTGATAATTCTGTCAAAATCGCATTTTACCAAACAAAAAGAAAAAATAATGCAGAAATAAATTTAGAACGAACTGAATGAAAAGTGAAGGAAAGGAAAAGACGAACGGAATAGAAAAATGGAGGAAAAGAAAAGAGTAGAACGAAATAAAGGGGTATACAAAAGAAATCGATGTAAAATATTTGCGGGAAGAAAGAGTGCTTATCAATAATTAAAGGAGCGTTACCACAACAGCAGTAGCAATAGGATGATCTATCCTAGATTTGTGTCTGAATATGGCCGACGTGAACTATTTCCGGTTTTTATCGTGTGCAGTGGAATTGGACGAGTAAGTATTCTATTTTGACTTGGTTCATCAAGCAGGAAAATGTCCCTCACACAGCTTCAGTGTAACATTGCTGTGTCAATACAAACAATTATGTGCAAGATATTTAAATGCATTCAATTTACGATTGACATTAAATTGAAAGTTTATGACGGTAATTAAAGAAGAAGCCCGAAGCGTCGACTCTTTATATGATGGTGATTAAAGAAGAAGCCCAAATCGTCGACTCTTTATATGACGGTAATTAAAGAAGAAGCCCAAATCGTCGACTCTTTACGCTGCCCCTTCAATTAAACAAAAATATGCAACATACTCGGTTGCTTGATATTACAATTAATGCTCTATGACGGAGTATGTGTGTGATTTAGATTTTTAACGTAGCTTTAACAGTTTTTCAGTCACATCGCTACGATGTCTGCAGTGTGGCATTTTACAGTGATGTCAAGCACTGAGACATCATGTCGCGGACATGTAGCATGATGTCCCACCCAGTCTCATTATTCTGACACCATGTCGACCAGTCCTAACACCAACCTTTTAATACTTAGTGAATATCGACGATGCAGTTACTACCAATTTTATAATTCTTTGGTATGACTCGGTCAGGGTTCGAACCCGCAACCTTCTGCATCCGAGGCGGACGCTCTAACAAATGGACCACCGGAGTTGTAATATGATGGATTAAGAATAAAACACTTGAATTTAAATACTGTTCATATTTTGCTATAGAACTGAAAGTGTTCACGTTGAACAAACTATCGTAATGGTTTTCATTCCAAATTAAATAATTCTTAACAATTGCTTATGGCCAGTATATATTTTTCTCTACCTCTTTTGTTAATCCAAAATTAGTCAACCCATCTCGACCCCAAAAAGTACGGAACAAAACAACAAAACAGCAGAACTATTAATTGCGGCAATTTTTAATTGGTCGTTCAATCCATTCCATTTTCAAGGCGGTTTCTGCATAGGAAGATAAGGCTATACCAGGAAGTGTTAATTTGAAAATAGTTCTTTCTTCACTTTGCAATGGAAGCAAATAGTTTGTGTAAGCAGCTATGAAAAAGTGCGAGAAAAAAGAAACGTCAGAAAGAATACTATCATGACGGCATTATGCAACATAATTGTGTTCTAAGAAAAACAACATTGAACAGCATGATTAATCCCAATAAATGGAAACGCTTTGACCTGCCATTGGGTGGGTTAGGGTGGAGCGAAAATGATAGAAGTGTGCATATGGGTTTAAACAATGTTGCAAAACAGAAATATTATTTTGATATCTACTGTAGATAAAGTTTTGTACATGTCATACAGATTTAGCTGAAAAGTTGTCTTATAAATGTATTAAGCAGCATTGAACTTTTTAAAGGTTGTAAACCTGCAGTATACTGCTTTTGCTTCACTGATCATTAAAAAGGTGTATATATATATATATATATATATATATATATATATATATATATATATATATATATATATATATATATATATATATATATATATATATCACCTAAATGATAGTATTGTTTGTATTAAACTATTATTTCTAAACTATTATTTCTGCCCTCTATTATCAAGATTCTACTACAGAATCCAGGGATAGCACAGTCTGTTGTGTCTGGTATATATTTATAATTATTTGTAATACAAAAATCCTATATACCTTGATTTCTTTCATAGGAATCTGGAACGACTGTGTGTGTATATATATATTGAGAGAGAGAGAGAGAGAGAGAGAGAGAGAGAGAGAGAGAGAGAGAGAGAGAGAGAGAGAGAGAGAGAGAGAGAGAGAGAGAGAGAGAGAGAGAGAGAGAGAGAGAGAGAGAGAGAGAAGGCAGTTTATTTATATTGTCATAGAGTAGAGATCCACATAAAGTCTAAAACCACTGTCCTTTCCTCGAAAGTGGCTCGTATCAGGCGAAAATTCTAAATGGGTTCAGTTTGCAACCTCTCAGTCAACAACTGGTCAGAATTTAGTTGATCCAAAAAAGCCCTTTCAACGCTGAGTCTATCATTAGGCTATAATTGTGCTAAACACGTTAATAAGGTGTCACCTCCGATGATAAAGTTGTCACCACACACTTTACATGCTACCCTATTATCACTAAAAAGATACTGACACAATCAAGGGGAAAGATGTGATGAGAGATAAATTAAAATCTCATCACTTTCAAATCCAGCAAGAAATACATGTATTTGAAATAATGACTATAAGATATTACGGTATGCCACACAAGGTGATATATGTCTCCGTTCCAAACACAAGCTTTACAAACTACTTACAATAATAATAATAATAATAATAATAATAATAATAATAATAATAATAATAATAATAATAATAATAATAATAATAATAATAATAGGTTGTTATGTTACTCCTTCTATTACTACTACAAATAATAATAACATATTTTTATAATAAAATAATTATAATAATAATAATAATAATAATAATAATAATAATAATAATAATAATAATAATAATAATAATAATAATAATAATAATAATAAAAATTAATAATAATAATAATAATAATAATAATAATAATAATAATTTCAGCTGCATCCTTCTAGCAAGTACATTTATAGACATACATTATGACGATATTGTAAGCATGTCTCGTAGTGCATTGCTCACAACCTGTCTGGGGATCTCAAGCAAGTTATCTCCATGAAATGTATAAAGCTTCTTTCTGTTTACTTCTTTTTTCTCTCACAACAAAGCGAATTTGGCCAAAGCTTTAACTACTTGCCAAAGATTAAAAACGCAAGTTTCTTAGTATGTGTTAAATCCCGTATATGCCTGGGGCTTTTATATCGTCATTGTCAATTCACCGGTTCCGTAAATTTTCCTTACATGACGATCTAAATGGATTGGACGATGACGATGTGTGTGCATTTGCATACTTCTGAATCGTTTGAATGTAAAGTCTGTTATAGGGAAGCCTTCCGAGATTACTGAGCGAGATATCTCCGCCGAACCCCTAATGGAGCTGCATAATTCAGACTCATTGCTAACGAACCATGACAATTTCGTAATTCAGAATCACTCTGGACTAATTGTTTTACACAATGGATATGTAAACAAAATGACGATCTAAGTAAAATGATCGAATGTGTTCCAATTCACAAATTTGAACTTTCTTCCTTAAACCAGGGAAAAGTAAGTAAATAATTTTGCAAATAACGAAATTTTGGCTTTAAGGGATGAAACCTATCGTCATACTAGTTAAGGAGCATTGTATGTCACTGTTGGTAGATATACTGTGTTTTGCTCAGCTTTATAACAGTACAAAGTCACAAAATTATAAGCATTATCTTTCAAAAAGTAAACTGGCCTCTTGAATATTCTTTTTCAAACTATGCATCTGACTTCATTTTATGATAATCTCTTCTTTTCGATAATTTTAGTTGCACTTGATGGTTTGATTCGAGTACTCATCAAGTTTGTGAAGCCATTCTAGCGTGATTGTGCAAAGTTTTTGAAGGATATTCATGGATTCTAGAGCACTCGTTCCAAGTTTCGGAAGGCTATTTATATTTTCAAGAGTGATCGTGCAAAGATTTTGAAGGATATTCATGGATTCTAGAGCACTCGTTCCAAGTTTCGGAAGGCTATTCATGTATTCAAGAGTGATCGTGCAACGATTTTGAAAGATATTCATGGATTCTAGAGCACTCGTACCAAGTTTCTGAAGGCTATTTATGGATTCTAGAGAATTCATACCAAGATTCTGAAAGCTTACAATGGATTCTAAAGTGATCGTGCTAAGATTCTGAAGGCTAACCACGAATTTTAAAGCCATCGTACCAAATTTCCGACGCTTATTCATAGATTCTAGAGCACTCGTACCAAGTTTCGGAAGATTAATAATGGATTCTAGAATTCTGTTAACAAGTTTCGAAAGTTTAATAGTTGATTCTACAATTCTCGTACCAAGTTTTTGAATACTAACCATGTATTCTAGAATCCACGCAACAAGTTTGGTAGATTAATAGTTGATTCTAGCGTACTCGTATCTCGTTTCGGAAAGCTAAGCTTTAATTCTAGAGTTCTCGTTCCGAGTTTCGGAAGGTCAATCATGGATTCTAAAGTACTCGTACTGAATTTCTGAAGGCTAATCTTGGTTCCCCAAGACGTGGTTATATAAATTATGTGAGTTATGTATCTTCACATCCTATTTGAAATTTGTTTTCCTTGCCACTCACACACGACGGTAAGAATTCAAACTGTACAATTCAAGCTATTGGGCTAATAACATTATCATGCAAGCAGGTTCGCTCGCTGTCTCTCAATATAAGGTAGATCTTTTCTATAAACTTACTTTAACTTAAATTTACCCTCAAATATTTGCGGATTTTATTAATACGTAAAGTATGAGGACCGGTTCATTTTCTCAATGACACACGTGGCGCGCCTCACCTTGGCAAAATACGCTGAGCTTATCTGATACATTTTCATGCAGAATCAATAAACAAATCTTCTTAAACAGACAAAGTTCAACATGGGACTGTGACAGACACAAATTATTATCTTCGAGAAAGACCCCCCCCCCATATGTTCACATTGCATGAACATTTTGGTGGCAGTTGTCAAAATAACGTTAAATTAATTTTGGGTTTAAAGAAAACACGTATAGTATAGCTTAACGGTATTTGAAAACTCTTAGCTAAAATAGAAACAACCTAAAAGATTTCCGTGAAAATAATACATTGTAATCGACAACCAACCTGGCGGTCAGCTCGAGTGACAACGTACACAGCATAAATACACAATAAATACCCGCATAACCCGAGATGAGCAACCCATGAGAGAACAAATATTGAGAATTAAAGGTATTATTGTCCGTGTTTAGCGCAAAACATTCGCCGAGAGACGTTGATCACGCAAACATTCTGCGTGATCGCCGTGTCCACTCAATGAAAAGCACGACAATGATTCGAATAGATTCATTTCATGCCTCGCATAACTTTCGATACGCAATAATCCTTTATGCTTATATTCAATCTATTTTTTGTATCTCTTTGTAACTGCTTCTAATGGTCAGTAAAGCGTAGGAATCCCAATCACAATGAAAAAGATTGCCGTTTTACAGCCATAGACTCAAACAAGCGGAATAAATGAACATTATATATATTTCAGTGTTCTTAATTTGACCTAGACAAGTATAAACATTCTTAAGTTTCTTTGAATCATATTTAGTAGTTGCCTGCAAAGATCTTTGGCCAATAAATCATAAGCATTCTGTCGGTTATTTGCATTATTTAATTGTTATACACAAGCGATTTGAACGTGGTGGTTTGTTTCAAACATTCAGTATAATTCTTTCTTTGTTGTTATTAGCAATATTTCCCTCTTTGACGTTTCTTGTTCATCCTGTGGTTGCAAATCTCAATAGGAACAATAAATCATAAGCATTCTGTCGGATATTGGCACTTCTTAATTGTTATACACAAGCGATTTGAACGTGGTGGCTTGTTTCAAACATTGGGTATGATTCTTTCCTTGTTGTTGTTGTTAGCAATATTTCCCTCTTTGACGTTTCTTGTTCATCCTGTGGTTGCAAATTTCAGCAGGAACCAAACATTTCTAAACGTCAACCCTTTCATCATTGATTTTAGGGAATATATTATTTTGGACTGTACTTTAGAATACCCAGTAATA